TATTATTATTATTATTATTATTATTATTATTATTATTATTATTATTACTACTATTACGTATTTATGTGTTACCTATTTTAATTTATAAGTCTAGTCATTTTTTTTCTAGTTTGTTAACAACATGTAAGAAAATATTGTATATTATTTTTAAAAGAAAAACTGTTTCTAGTCTTGGAATGCTACCAATGTATTAATACTAAACTAGTCATATAAAAAACACATTATAAGTTTTATACAAGTTTTCATTTTAATTATATTATACTGTGTATTTTTAAATTGTTAATCATTTTCATAAACCATTATTTTGATAGCCCTTAATATTATTTAGTTAAACTAATTTTTAACATATGATACAAAAACATTCATTTACAATTTGTTTTTGGGAAATATTATTTGATTTTATGTTTTGAAATGATGTGAAACTATCTTTTTTATTATCTAAAGAAATGTTCAAACAGATTAGTATATTAAATGTTTCTGATTTAACGTTTTATCAGTACTTTAATAATAAAGCATTACTGTAAATTCAATGAAAACATTGTTGTAGTTTTTATTATAATAAGTTTGCCTATATTTAAATATATGTATACGCATGATATAGTGAGAATATAGAAATGAGAAAAATCGGGTACTTAAAGCCGAAAACTAAAATATTATCTCATTCTGTATGTAAAGTGGCAAGTTGTTGAGACAAAAATGTGCAAGAGGTGAACAATAAATTATCATTGCGGAAAAGGCGGGAAAATGCTACGGCGTTTTTTCTGTAGAGAGGTCCAATTATGCTCACGAGCCATGAATTAAAATAAATTGTGTATCGATGGTGCAAAACCCCGATATAAAATATGCTTTTGTACTACTTATTATATTTTATTTAAATTATATCACACAAAAAAAAACCCTTTAAGAAAAGTACACTCGAATGTTAACCTACTGATTTTTCCACTTAGTTTTGTATTAGTAATTTGTTTTCATTTTTCATCAAACTCGACAGTTATAACGTGAAATACGATTTAATGAAATGCGTAACGAAATCGTTGCGAATATAAATATCATTATTACGGATTAAATTGTTAATATTTTGGAATACTAAAACATAAATAAGAAAGTGCCTAGAGTTTTTTGGTCACATAGTATTGGTATATGGTTTTGAAAATGTTCTGTCTAAAAGGGCTAAACAATAAACCAAAACATAGGAATGTTAGTGCATAAAAATTAATGTTTACAATTTACCAGACTTAAGTATATTTTAGTTTGGTTGAAAGCAGTGTCTTGTTGAAATCAAATATTGTTTTTAAAAACACAATGTTAAGGTAACATAATTTTAAATAATATCTACTAACCATCATTATGCGAGAAATATTTATATCATTAAAGAAATACAATAATGTATTAGGTGTAAATTAATCGATTTAATATTGATTAAAAATCGATTTTAATTTTGAAAAAAGGGATGCATATGTAATAAAATAAATTACTTAGTTCTTTAAACTAAATTATCGGTGCTTACCATTGTTTATTAAACTTATTCATTGAAAAATAATTACTGTTTAATTCTTAAAAAGCAATTATAAACCATTACAAACGATAATTCAAAATTATATAATTTAGGTATATTAATTAATGAGGACCCACTGCTTGCTAAAAAAACTGAAAACGTGATTTTGGAAAAAATTTGAAAATAATGTATATCAAGCAATCGATATAGATATTATCAATTATCAATATATATATGTGCATATATTATTTATATTTACTTATTCATAGTTAATATTTTACAAATCAAGTCGATAATATATTGAATTTAATAAAATATTTTAATTTATGATGTAAACCAATCATCACAATTACATAGAGCATCGATATTCCAGATTACCGAAGGTTTTTCAAGGTAACCTACTCAAATAACTAACATTTTTATTTTGATATCCACTGATTATATTAATTGAACTTAAAATTACAGAAATAATAAATAACTTAAATATCATGAATTACAAAATAAAAACTTTGTAATAATATAACTTAAGTATAGTAGTCGGTGATTTTTTCTAAGTAATACTTTTAGTTTTTACTTCAAAAGCTCGTTCTCTTAATCTACTTACCAACGTCAAAAAAAGTTTTGATTGAGCCCCGATCGAACATCTGGATCTATGTCAAGTTTATTTAAAAGTTTACGGTGTTATATTTTATTACACTACGTCTACTTAGATCTTTTAAACTATTTTATCTTCAAATCGTATATTTAAAATATATTGTATAGTTACATCGTAACTTAAATAGAACTACAAAAAAAAAAATACGAATCGGAACGTGGCTATTTTTTTATAAAGCGTTGGTTCAGCAATATGTTTTAAATTATTTAAATTTAAACAATTATGTAGACAAAAACATTTTTTGAATCGACGTTTTTTCGTAAAAATATTTTTATGGCATAAGATTTTATTTAAAAATAATGAATCTGCTCACAATAAATATGAATGCGTAATTTTTATCTCAAACGATAATCATAACAAAATTGTACTAACAATATATTGTCTTATAAAATGTTCATCGGGACACGCGCTTAAATTTAAAATATATCAACTACCAAATCAGTAATATTAATGATACCTAGTTGATAAACGGTAGGTAACCTAAAGAGAAAAAAACTGTTTAATATATGTTTTCTAATACATTCACAAGTTTCATGGCTAATGGAAGATTTCGCCACTAAGCTTGAATAAACTATTCTTTGAACCATACTAAATACTTATTTGATGTTTTTAATATTTTCAACACTTTTGGGTTTGGCTTAAATATTATATTAATAGAACAGCCGTCAGCATATTCATAGTTAGGTTAAGTATCAACCTTTTTTTCTTTTTTTTTTTTCGCTTTTGAATCATGATCGGGGTGGGAACCGCTTTTGCATTACTTCCATCCCAACCATTATTTTGAAACTGGACACAAGAAAACATAATACATCGTCAGTTAACACGAAATTCAGGGGCCTCTAATGGTTAGGTATCAACCTACCTATACAAAACATAACATAAATTTGCTTTTCATATGTATCTATTATTGTTTTGATATTTTTCGCCGAATGGAAATAATCGACAATTTATTCCTCCTGTGAATAGGTGATCGAACTGTTCAAGTGTTAAGTGCAAAGCTAAAATGTATATAACAAAGTTTTATTTTAAAAAGCATAAAAACAAATTAAAATGCATGATAATTTAATCATTATAAGACAAATTGTTTCATATAAAAAATAATATTTGATGCCAAAGGACTAATTTAAATTTACCCTTGACTACCCACACAGTAAAATTATATTTTCAAAATATTGTGGAAATATTGTCAATAAAAATTAAAATATTTGATTAAAACTGTCATAATATTTTAAAATATTTTCAAAAAATTGTAGAAACATTTTTTGGCAGGAGATCAAACATTATCACAATATTGTAGCTATATATTTTCATAATATTGTTGAGATATATTTTCACACTATTTTACCAATATATTTTCACAATATTGTAACTCAATATTTTTGCAATGTTTGATTTATGCAATTTCAAAATATTGAGTATCAATAATTATTATAATTATATATTAATATATATCGCAAGTTAGTTAACTACGATAATATTAGGTTTATAATAGACAATTTATAGTACTACTAAATATATATTAACCAATAATAAAATATTATAAACCGGTTGTGTATTATGTATTTTATTTGTTTTAACATTATATTGTTTTAATTTATTTTTGTTCTTCAACGTTTTAAATTTAGTATACTAATAGATATATCTATTGAGATATAATAATTATGAAAATTAAAAAAACCATACTTTAAGTGAATTTAAATAATATCTTGAATATATTCTGATAAATATATATTAATTTGAATTCAAATATATTATATATATTTTATATTAATATAAATAATGAAAATCAATTACCTCATATTATAATAAAAAAATTGCAGTAAGTATAAATAATGTTTTAACAAAATATCTTATATGATAATAACAAATATGTGTTCAAGTAAATATATTTACATATATATATATATACTGTAGTTTAAAATAAAAAAAAATATATCACATAATAATAATAAATAATAAACTATACTGCAAGTGAATATATTATGTTTAAACAAAAACTTAAATATGTTCTTATAGCTGTATATTAATAATATACAAACATTTGAATAAAATAAAATTTAAATGAAAATAAATTACCTCACATATATATATATATTATAATAAAATAATAAAAATACTGCAGTATAAGTATATATATTGTTTTAACAAAATCGTATAGGTATGCTAATATACAAACATAAATATAGTTCAAGTATTATTATCAATTAAATTATCATCATCGTGATTAGTTTGCAGAGATTTTTCAGCCATTTTTTTCATTCTTGGTGTTGCTTGGGCCATCCAGTTCTTAATGGGTTTTTCAATATCAATGTTAGACGTATCTTTAAACTTTTTCATTTTACGAACAATATCTGTAAAGAAATTATATTAATATATAATGTATTTGAATACAATGCTAACATGTTGAACTTTTATTACTTAAATATTTTATATAGTCAGTACCTGTAGTTATTAATTAAATTGGTTTATAATAATATAATATAGAAGTTTTGAAATACAGGATATTTGAAAACATGTTGTTCAATTTTATACCTGAACTTAAATGATTATAAAATATTATAATATAGTATTATTTATAATAAATAATACCTATATAATTATTGTTTGAAATATTCAAACCAAATTTGGGTTCATAATACAAAAATAAAAATGTATTAACTCTAGCAGTTATGATACATTATTAATTATGTTTATACATAAAAGGTTTTAAGACTGAAGAGAGTAAATTAGTGTGCTTATATTATAGTTATTTCCGTATAGAATGGCTAACAAAAAATTAGATCACACCTCATATTCAAAGTGAATAGTTTTTATTTTTAAGGTACTTATAAGTTTATATTATGTCACATTCCATAAAAATTATTTAACCAATAACAATAACTATGATAATATACATATACTGATGTGTAAGATCTAGTGCTAAATAATATATCTAGCAAAAATACTATAAATTTCTAAAATATCACATTTTGTATATTATAACGATATATCAAATAATTGTTACCATATATGATGGAACAACACTGCAATGTTGAAAACTGATGTTTGCCCTTAAATCCGACAAAAGAATATTTTGAAAGAAATTGGTCAGTGAACAGACGCTGCATTATTTTCCGTATTGTTTCTGGCAATGTATTTCCCACGAAACGAGATAGTAATATAATCTGAAAAGTAATATTTTTATCACCTATGTTATAAATTAAGAAGTGTAGTTAGACATTAATATAATAATTGTAATAGAACCGTAATTTCTTTCTGAAGTCTCCCCCCCCCCTAGACAACATTAAAAATACAATGACTTTTATAATTAAGACTAAATAATAATAATATGTATTTACTCGAGTAATAATTACTATATAATAAAAGTGATACACACTATATCTACTTTCTGTGGAAAATAAGTTGTAAAATATAATAAAAATTATGTTATAAATCATTAATGAATTATATAAGCCAATATTGTGTTGAATTGTTAACGCATTCATTAAAAAAAAAGTATGTAGCATAAAAAAAGTAGTTGCTTGAAAGCCTAGAACATACCTACCTACATAAATATTTTTTAACTATAATAATATATAGAGTAAATAATAAACTCTACGCATCACTAACAATAATGACAATAACTAATAATATATTATACTAAACATTCATACCACTGCATTTCTATATGGTTTATCATTAACTAGCTTTTCTTCCATATTGTTAAGATCTTCATCGTTGTCGATAACTCCTAAAGCCACATCATTATACTCATCATTATTAGAAGCCATAGCTGACCCTTTTGAATCTAATTTGGCTAAAATTTTTTCCAGTAATGATTCTTGGGCATCAAATCGTTTATGAAAATGTTCTGTATCATATTTTAGATTGGCCAAAGACCGCCTAACACATTTTCTGAATGCTGAGAAACAATTAATAAAAACAATTTTTTAAACCTGAAATGTTTAGATAACTATATATAAAACTAATATATAATAAAAATACCTTGATCACTTTCATCTGCAGATTTATTAGCTCTGGTAGACAGTGAAATTATTGGTTGGACTGTGTAATCATTGTTTTTATTTAACTGATCAGAACTAGAAGTGTGATGTGTTTTTTTTTTCTTACTTCTTGAACTATAAGAGACGGCAGTTTGTGATGTTGATGGTTCTTGCTGGTTAATTTTATACAGCCCATTTTCTGGAGCTGAGTCATAATAACTATTATCTTTAAATAATTGACTGGAAGGAACAGTACTTTCTTTAGTTTTTGTGATGTATAATTTCTCCACATCGGAATCATAATCACTTGATCCTGCTAGTTATTTATAAAAACTTAATAAATGTAAGGTATAATTTTGTACAATTAATGCAAAAAGGATGAGTAGGTACCACCTTATAAATATTATAAGTATACTATATATATATATAATATAATAAATATAATATATACCACTATATGTTAAATAGGTACCTATTTCCTTTGTATGTATAACAATATGATTTGTTATAATACAATATTAAATTTGAGGTGAGAAAGAGAATCAAATTGTAATACATTACAGCCTAAAGAATACATGTACAAAAGAAAAAAGTTTTTAAAATATTCTTCCTCGTCCGAGAACTCCTATACGGGTGATACATATTTATTAATGAGTCTGGGTAGTTATAATAATTTTTTAGTACAATTGAGGAAAGGATTAATAATCTATTAGTTAGTGTGACAAATATTTGTGATAATAACCCTACTTTGTTTGAAACAACATTTAGGTGATATTCATAGGCACAACTAGGGTAAATAATCTGGAGGGGGCTACAGCCCTCCTACCAAAACTTAAAATAACCTGTAGATTACCCCTATTCTTATTTATAATGTTGATATATTTTAGATTCTGAGTCAAGTTGGATTTACTGCAATATGTCTTTTTTTGTATGTAACACTATTGTGAGTTAAGTATGCTGTATACAGTATGCCATGTATAACATGGAATATTTATGGGGAGGGCTATGTTGCGCCTTTGGAGCTATTGACTATTTCATAATTTGTATAACTCCGATTTGTTGTCACTGATGAGCTATTTATCATTTTCATATTTGCTTTGATTAAAAATAATAAAAAACCACAAAGTAATAAGAATAAAAATAATAATAATATTCTAATTCATTATTATTATAAATATTCTTATTACTCTGTGTGAAAAACTATAAATATAGACGGACTTCAAGTATCTAATAACACTTAACGATTTTTACTAGTTTGTACACATAAATAGTTATTAACTTTTGGTTCCGTTGTAATTTTATTCTTATTTTTCGTGTACTCAATGTTTTAAAATCTGATACGACTTAATTTTGTTAAAAATTGGTTGAATTTTTACGATCGAATATTAATAAATTTTAATTAAAAGATTGTGATACAAAAAACTGACATAATAGTAGGATCGTAGCCGAAACAATACACAATTTATTATATAAGTAGGTAGTTAAATATCTTAAGATCATACACACAGTATCCAAAGAAGACAAAGTTTATATTTTGATAATCCGGACTAATTGTTAAATAATATTTTATCATGCTACATAACCAATGACAAAACTAAACTAAATGTTGATCCAGGAAGGATCAAAATCATTTCTAAACCTTATTGCAAAAATTTTAAAAAAGTTTAAAAACCACAGAAAGTCATGTACATTTGTAATATTTTCTTGTGCAGAAGATAAAAATATAATAGAAGAAAGTCTGGGTCATTTGACTCTATTTTGAAAATTAAATTTTTTAATATTATTTTACATCTAAAAAAATTAACTTGATAGGGTATATTTTATTAATACTAGACTTTTACTAGAATAAGCACATGTACAAAATATAACATTGCTTTTATATATTTATCTCCAAAATCAACACATTCAATTCAGCTTTTATATGCAGCATTTTTTTCTGTATTAAAATATGTGCATAGCGCAACATTTTTATATATAAATAACATTATAAAAGTGAACCTTGAAAAAATGAATCTGCTATTTCCAAGAATTCTTGGAATAAAGTTATAGAAAGGGTAAATAGCAAAATTACTGTTCTAAAGAAGATAATCCATTAGAAATGGAAGATAATGATAATACAGAAATAATTATTAAAATATTTTTGAGAACATTAGATAATTTTTTTAAATATCATTAACTCTTTACTGCAGGTAATAATTTAAAAAATTTAAAAACCATAGAAGAGATAATCTACATAAAATGTATAACTGAAAGAAAATGATTAAATAGCTGTGGGTTTTTTCAATTATTTTAGATCAAGACAATGTTTATCAGAAAATATTTTTTTTCATTATATTATATTGGAAATAAAGAAGATCGGTTCATATATCATATTTTAAATACTGTCCTAATAAACTGGACTCAAGAAGTTTTTAATTTTCTTATTCCAGAAGACAAATGTTGATTAATAAAGATAATATTGTAGGAGTAATAAATCAGTATATTCTTTAAAAGACATATTATGTTTGCTATACCATTTTAATGAATAGTAAATTTTTTATCCAACATATTTCGTTAAGTATTTTATTTTTATTTAAATATAGCTTGTTTATTAATTCAACTTTAGAGTTGATCAAAATGAGAATAAAAGACTTGTAAAATTTGTTTTTATATAATTGAAAGAATTATGGTTTAAAAAATAAAATAAAAGACTTAGACAATTTGTTTTGTTAATGTTATTAAATACATATGTTTAATTTTAGATAACTTTATAAGAAATAAATATGGTAAGTTAATATAGTTCTATGATTTTTTTTAAAAAATATAAATGAGATCCCACCATATACCTTCAGTAAGTCAGAATAAGAAAAATTTTATAAACACGAATAATATTCTATTTTAAAAATAAATAACTAAACCTAAATTAAAAATTTACAGTATGGTCTGTATACAATCTATCTTAATAAAATAATAAAAAATTAATAAATGGTTAATTCTTGTAAACTAATACCTATAAAAATAAATAAAAAAATAGTTTTTATATAAAAATAAATAAATAAAATAAATAAGAACTTAGTTTGGAGTATTAATATACTTTTTAAGTACAACCGGTTTTAAATTAAAATTATCACATTTTATGACAAATTCAATAAAATTGTGACTGAATATGAAAAAATTAAGAACATGGAGATAATTTATTTTAATAGGAGATGTTTGAAATGAGTTTTTATTAGGCATAGATATATTAGGAAATATAAATACTTTAGTTATGTAATTCACTAAAATTCTAAACAATAATACAATTACTGTAAAAATCCTTTTATAACTAATAATAATTTAATCAAATATATCAACAATAGAACTAAAATAAAAAAATTTACAAAAATTACAAAAATAACCCTTCTTTTTTAAAATGGTGATATTCAAACTTAAATGTAATTGTAATAAATTTTATATAGGTAAGACAAATATAAATTTTAAAATAAGATAAAAAGAACACATTTCTGAAATACATATAAAATGCATTAATTTTTTTTTTATATTCACTCGTATTTTTATTAACATTGTATATTATACGTGATGAATTTTGTATTTAAAACCGATAATACTTTATAAATATAATAATACTCTAGGCTGATCTTTTGTTTATTTATTTATATACTATCTTAGGCATTTTTCAAAAATACTCTCTAAAAATGATGGAATTCTTATCCTCAATAGAACTGGTGAAATCATTATGATATAGTATTATTTTAACTTTATATATTCTGTTTTCGTTAAATTCTGGAAATAGTTATGTTGTATAGCATGTATAAATAACTAATGAATCATTTTAATAAAATGTATCAATATAATAGAGGTGTATAAAAATTTTCAATTTATTTGATTTTGATGACAAAGATTATACACTTGTTAAGTATCAAGTGGTGATAAGGAGCAACATTTTAGACTTTGTAGAGACAACTTATAATGTATGTATAGCGTTAGACTGAGACTTAAAATCTCACTTTAAAATTCAGATAGAGCCGAGCTACTCCTGAGGCCAACAGTCTAAGCAAATTAAATGTTTAAAAAACATTTGTAGTCGTATAGTTTTGACGGTGGTGTACGAATAAAAAAACAGAATGCAAGACGGTCTCCTGTGCTTGGCGACTCGCATTTCAACATGATTCGATGGCGAAAGCGCAACACGACGAAGTGCGGACGACATTTTATGCCGCGGGTTCATTGCGTTACGTGTATGTAATACGTGTACAGCAGGCATGTCAAATTCAAAGTATCAAGAGGGTCAAACATATTGAATAGTTTACTATGCGGGTCAACTATAAAAAAAAAAAAAAATGTTATATTATTATATGTGTATACATACAAAACCATCAATAAAACTTACTGGATTACAGTTTACCAGAATTAAAGACGTAATAACTTATACCTAATATAACATTTTCTAAGAGCCTAAGATGGTTGCGACTTGACACGAATATTTTATCATTTTTTTTTTTTTTTTATCTTGTCGATTGATATTGGTAGCCGGGGTCCACCGAAAAAATTAACCGTGGGCCGCGTGTTTGACATGCCTGGTGCACAGCGTACAACGTAGAATGGTGGTGTTTCGCACGCTCAACAAAAAAAAATTGTAACGTTGATCGCGAGCACGACGCACGGACGCGTCGTTCGCAGCTCGGCCGTTATCAATGTTACCATCATCGGATGGTCGAGTGACGGTGGCACACTGCGGAAAGACCGCGCGCGCGTCGTGCACACTGACGAACGTAAATCAATATAATCATTGTATCACCAACAGCGTTCGTGCCCGACAATAATTTAACCGTAACGTAATGTAAAACATTATTTCAGTGGTTCCAGTTTACTTCTCCCTCCCTCTCTCCGCCGATCGTTATTGACATCGATTGCTTGCACGACTGTTGACACACCGGACGTTTTAATCTCCCTCAAACGTCAAACGCTCGAACTACTACGACCACCCTCTCGTTCGCAACTCTTGCTGTTCCTGCTGTAGTCTATTGATCTGCCCGTTCAGGCGACGTTTTTGCCCATCGCGCGACCGAGCACCGACATCGTCACTGTGTAGGTAAGCATTACTGAAAATCGAATTGCGTTCGAGCCGCGGCCCTCCCAATACCCGTAGAAAACGTTTTCGAATTAAACGAATGATGTTCGTACGTCGTTTGGTTTTTCCCTCGCAGGTCCGTTTACCAGCAATGGTGGACCTCACTTCGGATCCGTTCGATTTCTATTGACATTTGACAGTCGCGATATTAATGGTCGCACCAGTCGAATTAATTTCGTAATCGCGCACGATTGTTGTTTGACTTAAGCACGTTATAGTTATTCAACCGACGCGCCATTTTATTTTTTCATTAATACATATTTTATTTCGATTTTTAGGTTAGGAACTCAAGCATACGATTTAAATGCCCAGCAAAAAGAGAAAGTTCAACGCCCGTTTTCCTGCTGTGAGTATAAACCATCAATTTGATCTATACTCTATCCAGCGATAAAACGTGCTAGTTCTGTGCATGTAGAATAACAATCAAGCTGCACGCGTGGGGTTTCAGTAGGAATAGCTATGGCTGGTCATGTGCAGGGGTGTGCAACGATAAACCAATTTTGGTCGGGCTGTAGCAAATAACATGTTAGCACGTTTTCTCGCTAGCCAGAGTATAACAAAAAATATTGGACCTATAAGCTAGTTTGACTATTAATGTGTGTTTGTGATAATCGTTACTTTACAATAATTGTTATGGTAGGAAAAGGTCACTTGTTTAGAAATATTTATTTTCTCCTATCCTTCCTATATTAGGTTGAATATTATGTTCTACAAAATTTTCTCTCCATATCTCATTCACAAGCATCCACAGCTTCCATCATTTAATTTGCATAAAAAATTCATATCCTTACAATATTATTGACCTTACTATTGTTTTATGTAATCTAACACAATACACTTCAAATTACTAACTTGTATGTGCAGAATACTTATTACTTATTCAGGTATTCAAACTATATTTAATCACAAAATAATTAAGTATTATATGATAAACCCTAAGTAAATTTATAATTGTATGAATAAAAACAATTTAAAATAAACTAAAAAAAAAATTTTTTTTTTGACTATTACAATACTTTATTAGGGTAAATATTTAAAATACTTTTGATTATGTTATTTTGGTTAACAAAGAAAATCACAATGTAGTTCAACTTTAGATTCTGGAATATATCTAATTAGCTATGAAAACTCTATCATTATTTATT